ATGCATGCACACACACACACACACACACACACACACACACACACACACACACACACACACACACACACACACACACACACACACACACACACACAAACAAGACAAACCCTACACAAAATATGCACCTGAAACACCATCCAGAGAAATACATGCACAGAAGTGTACTTATATACTTATACTTATACTTATACTCTCTCTCTCTCTCTCTCTCTCTCTCTAGTGAGTGAGGGAAATATATAAACTATTTATATAAAACCTGGAGCCGTGTTTGGTTTGTCTCCAAACGAACCTGAGAGGATAACGAGTGATAATCCTCCGCTGAATAACGATACGTCTGCCAAGCATGATGGGTAACAGCTCGCTGACCCCGTTAAATAATCCCCTGGTTTATTTGGTTTAGGTGACGACCAGAATGTGGGAAACAATTCATTTCTTATCTTTTTTTGTTTTCAGCATTTACACTCTGTTTCACTGTAATTGATAAAAGCTTCGATGATGCTAAATGTCAGGCTGCAGTACCTTGGGGCTCCAGGTGGAGGAGCTGTCCGTGACTTCATTTTGGTCTCGGTCCTGTGCAGCCTGCTGCGTGTCCTCGCTGCCGTCTGCGGCCGGTCGGCTCATGCTGGGGGCGGGACTGTCCCTGGCGTCTGATGCCTCGCGGAAAGACGGGTTGTCTGGCGGGGCGGAAGACGCCCTCTCGATTTCCTCGACTGCTGCCGAGAGCGGGTCCTGGAAGCCCGACTGGTTCTGAGCCGCCATCTCTGCAGAGGGAAGGCAACAGGGTAGGAAAGTCAGCATTAGCCCCTCTGGTGGTTGGATTAAATCTGTGGGTCAAAGGACAAATGACTGACGGTAAGGACGTCTTCTCACTCGGGACGGAGGCAACATGTCCCCCTGGAAAAGTTTTATTCAGAGAAGTCGACTAGACTGACGGAGAAGTTAAGAGCAGCAGCGCCCTCTGTTGGTCTCTGTGTCCGAGTAATGAAGTGTGATATGAGAAAATATGATTGAACTTTTTTTAAAGTTTAGTCGATGTCCCATCTGCTAACATGGAAGAGGGAGGGGCTTATGACCGATAGCCACCAGGGGGAGATCGAGTCGTTGGCTTCCCTTTTGGGAGCTGTGACGTCGTCCATCTTTATTTCTAATGTGTAGTGGTTTATCGGTTCGGGGGCCGTGTCCTTCGGAGGCTGCATGGGAAGAATGATTACATCACTGGACTCCAACGTGTTTATATTTATAAACGTGTTTGTGTTTATATTCTGTTAAAGTAAAAATAACAACAAAGAGCAAAAACGTGAATTGTTACTTTGCTTGAAACCGACAGAGAGAGAGAGAGAGAGAGACGGAGGCGACCGTGTGTTTGACCACAGGAGACGATCCACGGAGATTTAGCAGGAGCTCGTTAACAGGTGTTGTGTAATCCGTCAGACGTTGGCCTTTACCTGAGACAGAAGAACTCGGAGGACAGGCCGTACCTCCATCACTCTAAAGCAATTATCTCCAATTCATTGTCATTAAGGTTCTTCTAAGTGTTACATCCAGAGCTGCGTGAAGTGTTCACCATAGCAACAAGCTGAAGTGAGTCACGAGCATGTCTGTGTGTGTGTGTCTGTGTGTGTGTTCTTTAGTGGTTTCAGATGATTAATAAATACCCGTTGAGACAGAGCGACCTGCACCAAACAAATTCAAGCACCAGCTGCTCATTCGTTGTGTTGTGAGGTCACAGTGGGTCACATGGACGATGTCCCATCCACTAACATGGAAGAGGCAGCGTTTATGACCTGTACAGCAGACGGCCACACTTTAAATTAATATCGTGAATTTAGCTAAACTATGTTTAATTTACGTTATTTTTCCCGCGAAGCTTTTTATGGGTGTGAATGATATTTCAGTTTTATTTATTTATTATGTAAATTCAACATATACATGTGCGTGAGAATTGTTTTGGGTTTATTATGAATCTGGAATAAAATGTTTAGGAATAAAATATTAGGAACCACATTTTATTCTTTGATTTTAGCAAAAGTGTGTTTTATATTTGAGCTTAAACAAATCAGACCACGTGTTGATCTGAACCCAAAACTACAAGACAACAGGAAAAGCAGAATAAAAATTCTCTGTTCATCGACTGTTTGCTGTCGTTTCCCAACATGCGTCCTAATTAACGCTGCCGCCCGTCGACACGCCGCCACAGTCCGACCTCACTGAGCCCGGCTGAGCTCTTCACCTCTGATCTGCTGTTAAAAGGTGTTTGGGGTTTTGGGCTCATCGACGTGTCGCGGCAGCATCTGGAGCTTTTCTGTCTTTTCTCCTCTCACAGAAAAACGAATCCGTTTCTATTTACACGTAAGTTCGGTCAGTTACATCCATCGTCTTCTGCTTATCGGGGCTCGGGTTGCAGAAGAAGACTGCCAAGTCGTGGATCCGAGACATCCCTCTGCTCAGCCACGTTTGGTGGCTGGTGAATCCCGAGGCGCCCCATGGCCTGATGGGAAATGTTTTACCTCCAGCAAGTTCTGGGTCTACCCCAGGTTCTCCTCCCAGCTGCGCCGGCTCAGGAGGCGTCCTGACTAGATGTCCAAACCTCCTCAACTGTCCCCTCTCCAAGTGAAGGAGCAGTGGTGTCTGAACTCCTCCTTCTTCACCAACAGTCCAGTAAAACAACCACATTACTGCCGACGCCGCGGCGACCCACCTGTCCACCCGTCACTCGTGCACAAGAAGAGGACGACCCTCTCCACCTCGGCCGCCCAGTGGTCCTGTGTTCTGAGGATTACTGAGTTACTATGAGATTAAAATAACACACCTTCACAGTCGGACGGCTCGGTGCTGCCCTCCTCCTGGTCCGACAGTCGGGTGAATTTGTGGCGTCGACCCAACGCTAGCTGAGACTGCTGGGCCGGCTGTTCGCCGCCGCTGACCGCTGTACTGCGAAAACTCTGCGAACGCGACACCGAGATCTCAAACTGCTTCAGGACCTCCTCTTCGCTGTCGGAGGAGCTGAGGCCATCGTTGTCACCGTAGCTGTTCACTGGAGGGAGAAGAACGCAGGGAAACGGGGGGGGGGGTGACAATCGGAAAAAGCTTCGGAGATAAAGGAGCGTAAGAAAAGAGAGGAGAGGATCCAGGAGGAAGGAAAGAACGAGGATGGAGTGAGTTAAAGAAAGAGCCACGCAGACAACACACGTTTTCTAAATTGTTAAACAAAATGTAAATAATTCCAATGCGAATTTTTAACAGGTTATGAAACCGTCTCATTTTAATTTTGCTCTTTTTTTTTCTTTCTCTCCTAGTTAACGTTCCAAAATCAACAGAAACGAAAAGTTTAAGAGGAGTTAAAGTTCAACACTTCTACGTTTAAATACACACGTCAGTTTGTCATATGTATGAATTTCTACCTGCAGATGAAAACTATCCTGTACTTTAAAAAAAGAATAAATTTAACATTAGTAAAAAATAAATAAATAATAAATAATATATTCAGCCTGTTTCTGACGTGAATGGGGCAGGAGGGTCGCTCCACGCACTTTATAATCTGACTATAATTGGATAGCAACAGCTGAATGAAAGATGCGGCTGTGGCGCGATCGGCCCACCAGCCGCCCCCCCCCCCCCTCAAGTGCAGGTCAACGTCGCTACCTGAGCGATCGCCATGGTTACCTACAGAGCAGGAAGCTGCTGTTTGAGTGGGCGAGCGACAGCTGATTGGTCGGTTAACTTCTGTCTTCTACAGCTTTTCACAGATGGAACGATCACACACACACACACACACACACACACACACACACACACACACACACACCCACTGTGACCTTTGACCTCTGAAATCGAATCCGTTCAAATGAATGTTTGAGACAAGAAATTCCCTCGAGGGATTCTGGAGATAAAATACCATCATTTGTTGGGTCTCTGTGACCTTTGACCTTTGACCTTTGCCCACCGGGTTGTAATCAGTGACTGGTCCGTGAGTCCAAATCAAATTCGCTCTCTGTGTCGTTGCGATATCGTGTTTGTGACGATGAGACGGATAAACAACCTGCTGAACGAAGCCAAATCACGAAGACACAGAACTGAAGAACTGATGAATTCTCCGTCCAAGTTTTTAACCTCTTTCTCAATATCTGCGTCTCTCAGATCATTAATTTCAGGATCAGAATCGATATCCAGCGTTAAAACGGGTTTTGTGACAGTCGCTCGGGCCAAGAACCGAATAAACAAGACAATAACAAGAAATAGAAAACAGCATCTAATACACTGTACGTGAATTCATTTCAGTTTACTTTAATAATCAGGTGGATCGATTCGACTTTAACACTTCAGACCACTGGATTTAATAAAATACAGAAAAATAAGAAAACAGAAAACACGAGGAGCCGTCGACCGAAAACAAGAATCTTTAGCTGAAAAGTTTCAGACAAGTTTTACCCCAAGTGGTTTGTGCTTTAACACAGAAACATAAAATTAACTGGAAGTGACGCGTCCGTTTTATCGATTCAGTTAAAACTACATTTCCACATTTAGTGTGATGACGAGCTCCTACCTTCTCCCTGTGAAGCTCCAGAGGGTTTCGAGCCGTGAATGTTACAGAGCGACTGCAAACAGGACGTTTTGTTTGTTCAGGAAACCAACTGGAAATACCAGAGACTCCACCTGCTGCAGGTGAGGAGCCGACCAGTGTTTGCTCACAGTTCGACGCTCAGACTCCGCCCGGACTCAAACATCCTGCTGCTGTTGTTTCAGATCCAATGACGAAACCTCGGAAAGTTTAAAAAGTGTTTAAAAACTGCTCCCACCGTCCTGCTGGTGATCATCTGGGCTGAAGAGGCTCGGTGATTGAACTCCAGCACATGTGGGTCACTGTGACTCAAACTCCAATGTGAGTTCCGGATCAGACGTCGAGGTCGATTAATGAAATGACCACGAATCACAAACTGGGCTCCGCTCGCTCCTTTCATTTAATAATCAGTCGACCTTCAGTGACCTTTGCTCTGTGTGTGTTCTCGTTGTTTGACAAGTGGGAGGAGAGACGGAGTTTCACGGGACGACGAAACGAGAGAAAAGACGGAGACGGGTGTTTTGTGCGATGGTTTAATGTTTCTAGTGTGAGTTTGTGTGTCTGACTCACTGCAGACACACAAACTCACACCCACAGAAACCTGATGCACAAATACACACTCACCCACGTTCTGTCTCTGCTGTTTAATAACACACACACACACACACACACACACACACACAAACACAAATATAAATCAGGTGTGGACGGTTCCTCGGTTTGTTTGCAGAGACACTTTTTTTTTTGGGATAGTTTGGACTTTTGGACATTTCACAGTAGAAGAAGAAGAAAAGGAAGCAGCTGCAGGATCTAGTGACTTCAGCGAACGTGTGAAAGCAGCTTGAGTCGGTCACTCACCGAGACCCTGGCGAATTCCTTGTCGTCCTTTCTTCCGGCGGCCATGTTCCTCCAGACAGGGCAGTCCGCCGACACGCGAGAAACACAGCTTCTTGTTGATGAAGAGGAAGAGGACGGCCAACGCCACGATGAAGACGCCCACGGCCGACAGGAAGCCGATGGCCTCTGGGGTGACTGGTAGGAGGAGGGAGAGGGGACACACAATGACACACTGATCAGACCACACAAACAGACAACCTGGACACACACACACGCACACGCACACACACACACACACACACAGTATGCATGGTATATGTGATACACAGACAGAACGAGTGACACTTTAGTACGAGTTCACCTCAGTGCCTTGCTCAACAGCAGAGTCAGTGTAACAAGTGCAACAGTTTTCAGCAGCTCGGTCTTTTATTTGATTTTCTTCATCCTGTCGTCGTTTCTTAATTAATCGTAACGAGAAGAAAGCCCCGCCCCCTTTATTTACTGTTGCTACGCGACGGACACACACGTGCAGCTTATGCCTGAAACCATGGCAACAGTGATGAGACATTTGGTGGGTAATCGCTGCCAAGTTTTATTTACATTTTGTGAGTCTATCGTTCTTTTGCGTTTCTCAGTTTTTTTTTTCCTGAACTTTTTTCCATTTTTCTTCAGTTTTGTCAGTTTACTTTGTGTTTTTCAGTTTTTCTTTTCATTTCCAAGTTCTCACATTAATCCGATTCTGACTTTGTGTAGACAGAGACGTACTTCTGGGATGGGAATTGTGCGCCGTGTCTTTAATTGGTCTGATAAACTGAAACTTAAACACATTTCACCACCAATGTTCATCACTGATCCGAGAAACTCGCTGCTTGTGAAAGTCATTCTGAATTAAAGACATTTTCGGCGAGGAAGAGATTGGCAAGAATTCATCCTTTACAACATTTGTGGAAGATAAATATTTGTAGAGATTAGAGAGGAATTGGGAAGATGGAGTGAAGACAGATTCTGCAAAAAAGAAGGAAGAAGATGAAGAAGAAGAAGAAGAGATGAACTGAGGAGGGAGGCAGTGGAAGAAGACTGCAGCAGAGAGAAAGGAAGAAACAGACGGAGAGAAGGAGCGACAGCGAGGTGGAGAAGAGACGTGGAGCGATAACGTGAGGCTCTGCTCTCAATGAGGCGTCTGAGGCTCCTTCAATGCAGATGAATAGAAACACACAGCGGGGGGGCACCGTCTCCTGTTTCCACGGTAACATTTCACAGAGCAGAGGAGAAAATCAATGGGAGCAAATGGAGACGAGTACAAATCCCACTGAGAGGCGACGCCAGAGAAAGGACTCCACAGCGTAGGTGTGTGTCTGTGTGTGTGTCTGTCTGTGTGTGTGTGTGTGTGTGTGTAATACTATTATCTCTCTATTATTTATTTCATTCACCATCTTTCAATAACTTTCTCTGTCTCAGATTTAAGAAGCTAAACACGTTGCAGATAAACATAATTAATAATCTGCGTCAAACCCGTCCCTTCACATCACCCAGCAACAGTGTGTGTGTGTGTGTGTGTGTGTGTGTGTGTGTGTGTGTGTGTGATGAAACATCTGTAACATCTTAATCTTTATGATCTCTAATTGTGGCCGTGATGATTTTAAATCTGATGAAATAGAAGATTTATGAAACCTGCAAATTCAACTTTCAGACGTTCAGAATCTAAAATAGTTTCTTTATCTTCGACGTGTTCTCGTCAGAATTGTTTCCGTGCACGTGGTTCATGTATCTGATACCAGGGTCCCCCCCCCCAGGGTCCCCCCCCCCCATGTTCTAAACTCTGGTTGTTAATAACTTCTCAGTGTTTTTAACTGATCCACAGTTCAGCTTTACTCTTCAACTCACTGGACCTGAGTCTGACCGTCGAAGCTGAGACAAACAAAAAGTTGCCCGAGCCGTTTTCAGACGTGAATTCTGGAGGATGTCCTCAGAACTGGGGTCCAGAGTTTTATTTAAGTCTGGAGATCCTCCGGAGATCAGCTTCTGTCTGAACGTCACACAGACGACCCGGCTCAGTTACTGTCACTGTCCAAACTGCTTCTGTTGACAGTTTTAAGAAACAACTCAGGACCCAGTTCTATGATTTTGCTTTTAATTAATGAATTTTATCTTCTTTTTTTTAAACACCATTTCTTTTTATTTCTGTTTAGATCTTTTCTAGTTTTATGTTTTTTTAATCCTATCGCTAACGTGATCTTTTTTATTTCCTGTCTTTGATTTAATTGTAAATCACTTTGAGCTGCGTTGTACGTATGAAAGGTGCCGTATAAGTAAAAAGTATTATTTTTATTATTTTCTGGATGTTCGGCTGCTGCTCTCGCCCACAGAGAGACGTCTGGAAGTGTTTACACGTGAACCCTGTCTGAGTTCGGCTTTTTAAGAAACCATCACCACCACCTACTCTGTCCTCGCCCACACGTTGGTGACGCCAGCAGCAGAGACGAGACGATGGTTTTCTGTCTCCTCGAGGTTCTAAACCACCAACGGGTCCGAAGTGAAATATCCTGACAGACAGTAAATGTGTGGACGGTGTGTTCGGGTGCAGCAGTAAAGTGGAGCTTCGCTCTCAGCTGCTCTGACAGTCAGACACTGAGCTCAGTGTTGGAGACTCAGAGCCTTCTACTGTCTGCATCCAGATGGACAGGAAGAAACCCCGGGTCAAAGTCTGGCCTCACACCTGCTGCACGCACACACACACACACACACACACACACACACACACACTCGACTCCCCGTCATTCAAAATGCATGTGGTCCTATCTCTATACACTATCCTCACGCAAATTGGTCCAGAACAACTCGGGTGAAACGGGTGACGCCATCTTGTGCTTTTGACGAGATGTAGAGAAAGAGGCTGAAATCACTGAAACAAAATAAAAGGGAACGTTGCTCAACTCTCTGAAAGAAAGAAGCACCAGTAGTTGGATTTGAAAACTAGGAAATATTAGGTGCAGACATCATGGCTCCTCATTTTCATCTCGATTCTTCCGGTCTTGCATCCGTCAAGTGTAAGAAACGTCCCCGACACGTCCACTAGTGATTATCAACAGTATTTCCTGCTGTACTCTCACATGGGTGGCACAAGAAACTGGATTGAGATTGTCCGGACATTCGTGTTCTCGTGTGCAGCCTCTCCAGACGACATCAGGAGAATATCCAGAGTCTGAAAGCCGAGTAAAATATGAAGAATGAATGAGATAAGGATTATGGAGGCGTTTGACCCAGAACTCAACGAGAGACATCAGATCAGGCTAATGAGACGCTGAGATCGAAGCAACGGCAATAAAAAATTCACAATATCTAATCTGCGACAAACGCGATGGTGAAAGCCTGTTTGTGTGTGTGTGTGTGTGTGAATTCTTAATCCTGATCCCCTCATTACTATGCAGCTGCTGACTTTTCCAGCCCGACTTTGAAGTGAGGATCTCCAGAGGAGGGA